TCTCTCTCTCTCTCTCTCTCATAAAGGTCTGTAGGACCATTCTGCTATCAAAACATCAGAAGCTGCCCCACCACCCATTAAATTAGCTTCTTTAGCTTATTCCTGCGCCCTCTACAGTGTAAACCCAGAGTCCCTTTTAGAGATGGTTTATTAATGTCCTCCTTTCCTCCCTCTTTGTTTTTGCCCAGTCTGTATTCAGGGAAATAAGACACCAAAAATTCAAATGTATTCGTTAATGACTCTTTTATTAATAAACAAGTTGGGCAGATAAATCATTGTGGGAGGAGGAAAAACCCATCAACTTGACACTCCAAATATTCAAAAATCACAACACACCTTTCATTTGTAAGATTCGGAGCACAACTCTATGTGGGCTTAGTGAAGTGTGCCAAAGGCCATGATTGAATTATGTGCACAATTTCAAATGGAAAGCATATTGCATTGGTTTTGGGGTTTGCGCCTCCCAGCTTTGTGGTATTTGGAGTAATAACTCATGGGGAATGTTGAGGACATACCTGAGCTAGCCTCCTGGTTCTTCTCGAAACCTCTTCCCTGTGGGTGGTAATGCTTTCAAGAGCACTTTTCCTGATGGCAAAGCCACGTGGCTAGTTTCATGGCTAGAAAGAAACACAAATGGTGTCGGAGTTTATGTTGAGAACTGGAATGGAGTTTGAGCTGCAGACCTCAGCTTTCTACAAGCCAAATGCTTCAGATTTTATACTCAAATACAGCTGTAATAACTCTTTTCTGAATGTAAGAACATTCTTTACCTCCTTTGTTACCTTTTCCTATTCTTGTCTGCCTACAGCATCCTCTCATGTTTCCTCAACATGCTACTTCCTATCAGTGTGTGTGTGGACATTGTTTATCTTTTCCATCCTATCTTACTTATGGTATTTTATGGCATTATTTGTATGTTTTTATGTGCCATCCATTATAAGCCATAAGCTTGTTGAGTTATCTTTCAAATTGCAAGCTTTCTTCATTACTATGTTCTTGAAACACTCAACCATAATGTCTTGAATGTTAAATATAGAAGTCATAGAATTAATTACAGGAAGCAGGCTTTTTATTTGGACAGAATTATTGGTGTTTTCAAGATCTTTTTTAGATGTTGGACAGAGCTTTTAGGTGTTGTAGATAAAATTCCCGAAGAAACCAGAAGGTAGTTTCCTGTGTAGCTTGTTAATGAAAATGGAAAGATTCTTTTGGCTGATAAAGGTATTTCACATTTACAAGAATTTGTGTGCAATGAAGTTCTTGGTACGGATCACATAAATAAATCCACATGGCAGAGGTAGGTAATAATTCTCTTGGATATATTATGTAATCTACCCATAATATTAAAAAATTCGTTACGCTTCCCTCACCCCAAGATTCTAAATAGAAAAATTGCACCCAAGGATTCTAATAAGGTACTCAAATGAAACACAGGTGCTGTTAAATGGCTGTTTTATACTTTGCCTTTTAGTTCATGTACTTGTTCTCTGCACATTTCCAAGGTGATGTGATTAAGTTGCTCACACATAGCTAGTCCAGTTAGGCCCAACTCCCACTTGTTGTCTACTTCTGAATCTATAGTGTTGAAAAATTTGGAAGGAATAAGAGCATGTGTCACGTGTAGCAAGTTCTACTTCATTGTAGTGTAATATGAAATCACATGCCCAGAAACCCTGTTTCTGAGAGCCTCAGCTTTCTAAATCTCTTTCAGAAAACCACCTTGGTTCATAAACCTAGTATTCATGCATCTACCCCCCCACCCCCCAAAATTGTGTTGTTGGTAAGTGCCATTGAGTTGACTGTAATTCATAGCCATACTGTGAACAATGGATCTGAACCCTCCTTTGCCATTCTCATTATCTCTGGTATACTTGAGCCCATTCTTAAACTCACTGTGTCAGCCCATCTTGTTGAAGATATTCCTCTCTTATGCTGAGCCTCTACCTTCCCGTGCATGATGTCCTTCTCTAAGGATGAGCCCCTCCTCATGACATACTCAAAATATATGAGATGAAGCTTCATCATTCTTGCCTTTAAGGAGACATCCTGATTGTTCTTTCTCCAAGACATGTTTATTTATTCCTGTCCATGGACTATTCAGTACTCTTCTCCAATACCACAACAACTCAAAGACATCCGTTCTTTTGTCATTCTATGTCATTTCCCAGCTTTCATATGCATAGCACATAATTCAAAAGGCTATGACTTAAATGGAGCTCTGGTGGCCTAGTGGCAAGTAGCTGTACTGCAATCCCAAAGGCACGTGGTTCGGAGCCACCAGCTGCTCTACAGGAGAAGGATGGGCAGTCTCCTCTCGTGGGATTAACTGCCTCTGAAAACCTGCCAGAGGGTCAGTTATGAGTTGATGGTCGTTGATGATACACAACAACGTGACTTAAAAGTTCCTATTGCTATTGTTGATTGCCGTTGAGTCAAGTGCAACTCATGAACAAAAGTCCTAATGCCTTTCCTTATGTTGTTGTTGTTGTTATGTGTCGTCGAGTCGCTTGCGACTCATAGCGACCCTATGTACAACAGCCCTAAACTCTGCTCTGTCCTGTGCCAATCACACTGTCTCTAACACTCCCATCCCTATTGCCCCAGTCACTGAATCAATCCACCTCATAGAGGGCCTTCCCCTCCTGTGCTGTCCATCCCCCCTCCCAAGCATGATGTCCTTTTCCAAGGACTGGTCTCTCTTCATAACATGTCCAAAGTATGTTAGATGGAGCCTCAGAATCCTTGCCTCCAAGGAGCCACCCGGTTTAACCCTTTCCAGGACAAATCTGTTTGTTTTCCTAGCAGTCCATGGTACTCTCAATACTCTTCTCCCGTACCACAGCTCAAAGGCATCAATTCTCCTCCTATCCTCCTTGGTCATTGTCCAACTCTCTGATGCATAACAAGTGATTGCGAAGACCATGGCCTGTATCAGGCGCACCTTAGTCTCCAGAGACACACCATTGCTCTTCAGTACTTTGGAGAGGTCCCTAACAGCAGACTTTCCTATGGCAATGCCCCTTTTAATTTCCTGGCTGTTGGTGCCAAGACTGTTGACTATGGAGCCAAGCAAACTAAAGCTGTGAGTAATTTCAATCTCTTCACTATCCATCCTGATGCTGCCAATTGGTCCAGTGGTGAGAATCTTTGTCTTCTTGACATTGAGCCTCAATCCATATTGTAGGCTGCAGTCCTTGACACTCTGTAGCAGGCGCTTCAGGTCCTCCTCAGTTTCAGCAAGCAGGGTTGTGTCATCCGCATAATACAGATTCTTGATAAATCGTCCACCAATCCTGACCCCACATTTCTCCTCATAGAGCCCAGCCTCCCGGATAATCTGTTCTGCATATAGGTTGAAGAGGTATGGAGATAGGATGCATCCCTGGCGTACGCCCTTCCCAATTTTGAACCATGCAGTGTTCCCTTGCTCTTTTCTGACGACTGCCTCCTGGTCCAACTATAGGTTTCGCATTAGAATGATCAAGTGTTCTGGGATTCGCACTCTTCTCAGAGTCAGGCACAGTTTGTTATGATCCACACAGTCAAACGCCTTTGCATATTCAGTGTAACACAGATAGACATTCCTTTGGTATTCTCTGCTTTCAGCTAAGATACATCTAACATCAGCTACAATATCCCTAGTTCCACGATCCCTTTTAAACCCAGCCTGGACTTCTGGCAGTTCTCTGCTGATGTGCTGTTCCAGTCGTTTTTGGAAAATCTTCAGTAGAATCTTGCTTGCATGTGAAATCAATGAGATTGTTCTATAGTTTCCACAGTCTGTTGGGTCACCTTTCTTTGGGATGGGAACAAATATAGATCTCTTCCATAGAGAAAAGCATAAAATCTCCAAACCTACTATGACTTGAGGAAAAGTGTATGAAGACTTGAAAATGTAATTTCAAAATGGATAAATGTGTACATGGTTTGTAGGAATAGATAGGCGTTCTGCTTTGCTTACTGATCTCCTAGCACAAAATCAGTATTTGCTGCATACCCGCACGACTGAGTGAATGAATAATGTTCACTTAAAAAGATTTCGTCCCTCTCATAAGGAAAGAAATGCTTAGGAAGATAACCAGATGTGTATACCTTTGATCTAGCAGTTCTGCTTCTTAGAATTCATGCTAGGGAAGTAATTAGGCAACTGAGCACTGATTTCTTATCTCAGTTTCTGTTGTCCAGGAGCATGTTCTGAGTTATTAAAGCCTTCAAATGATGTTCATTGTAAAGCCATTTGTAAAACTGAAAAGGTGGAAACAATCAATATGCCTATAATTACAAGAATAGTTGACTTATCATAGTGGGACACTGTTTAAAATAGATAACATTGGTCTCTAGGTAAAGGCATAAGGCATAAAGAGATGTATTAGTTTTTAAAATACAAGTTGTAGAATTCAAGGTAGAGTTTTATGTTTGTGTAATTAAGAGTGGGATGTGTGTGTGTGTGTGTGTGTGTTTGTGTGAAAATGTGAAATATGAAGACAATTCCGTTTGCCCACACATGCTTGTACATGTGAGCGATGGCCTTCCAAGTGGGTGTAAACAATTAGTAACTGAAGCTTATCCCTCAGGAGTAGGACTGGGGACGTTTGCAGATTTCTGGTATAATACAATTATTTTTTATTTCAACTTTTCTTGTAAAAAAATATTTTACTTTTACACAGGAGAAAAGACTAGGGGAGAATGCAGTAGGCCTGAGGTCATTTTCATTACTGCTTTAAATAAAAAACATGTTGAAGGGTTAATTTGCGTTCTTGTAAAATATGCCTTTCTGGAATGATTCATTTCCTTGAGAACTCTGCATAAGCAAAAATTTTTTTGTAAGAAGATAATGAAAGGCATTATCAGACTGGGCTTCTATTGCGTTCTTTAATGATGTGATAAATTAATGAATATTAAAGAAATATTATTATAATGTGCTATTATTTGGAGAAAGTATGTAAATCCACATTTGTTTCTGGGCAAAATTTCTCACCATTTTCTCTTCTTTCTTCTAGAAAAGCTCAAGAAGAGAACAAGAAGATAGTGCTCGCTGGATGTGTTCCTCAAGCCCAGCCTCGTCAGGACTACCTTAAAGGATTGAGTATCATAGGGGTAAGCTTGAGTTTAGTGATGGGAGAAGGAAAAGTTTAACAGTATTAAAGCTTATGATAGCTACACGTTTTCTTTTTTCTAAACACTCTTCTTACAAATGAAATTTTTTTAAAACCCTTGACAGTCACATGTTTACTGTTATCACATTAAAAAAAATTCGGGAGCTCTGGTGGCCTAGTGGCAAGAAGGTGCACTGCAATCCCAGAGGTGCCCAGTTCTAATCCACCAGATGCTCTGCTGGAGAAGGACGGACAATCTCCTCCTGTATCAGTCAGATCTGATTTGACGGTACACACACACAAAATAATAAAATTTAAAAGAAAATAAAAAAAATTCTAAATTTCTTCCACTTACACGGAAAAAAAAAAAAAAAAGACTGACACAAAGGCAAAGCCCATATATATCATGTCCTGATGACACAGTGGCCAAGAGCTCAGCTGCCAATGTGGGTAAAGGTCAGTGGTTTGAGACACTAACTACTTGGTCAGGGAGAAAAGACCTGCCTGATGATCGATCACCTGTAATAGAAGGTTCAGCCTCGTTGGCTTTACTCTGCCCCTAGGTGACCACTAAGAGTTGTAATTGGTTTGATGGCACACAACAAAGTGATGTACATCTGTGTAGATTACAGCAATTTTATTCCATAACATGTAGGTTCTCCATGAGCTGAGGTCAGCTCCCCAGCTACTGATTTTGGTTGTTTTGTTGTTGATTTGTTTGGTTTATTTTTGTCTTTGCTTGCTTGTACAGTGTCATCTCTTGCCATATTCCTATTTATCCCACCACTCTGTCCTACTTGGGATCCATCTCCCAGGGTAATGACGCCCTTTTTTGGAATCTCCACTTTTCTCATCCTCAAGCTCCAAGTCTTGGCTCCACCATCACGCATTATGTAAAGGCCCCTCTGACCACTCTGTGCTATCGTCAATCATCCTATATCAGATTCCTATTGATTACCATTCAGTTGGTAGTCCTTCACTCTCTTAGCACCTCACATGGTTGTGATTTTAGGTTACTTACAAATCTGCTACCAGGGACTTCTTCAAAATATTTTAGAAAACTATCACCTTAAAGTCCAAGGTGCACTTGCTTCAGGCTAGAATCTTTTCAATAACCTTCTACACATGTCAATTGGACAGTGAATTATGATGACAGAGGAAACTTGAAGCCTTTGAGTTGTGGTGTTGGAGAAGAATACTAAGTACATGGACTACCAAATGTACAAAAAAAAAAGCTGGGTCTTGAAAAAAGCAAAATGAGAGTGCTGTTTGGAGGTGAAGATGCCAGTGTTCCGCCTCATATTCTTTGGGGAGGTTGCTAGAAGAGGCAATTCCTTGGAGAGACATCATGCTTGAAAAGGTGGAGGGTCAGTGGAAGAGGAGAAGACCTGAGATTAGATGGATTGCCACAGTGGCCGCAGCAGTGAGTTCAGGTGACGAGCATGGCACAGGATGGGACAGGGTGGCTCCACAGCGCCTAAGAACAACCACATATATCGATGGGGAACTTAATGAGGACAGGTTTTTTTGTGGTGCTTGCTGACTTTCACTATGCTTCTCTAGTCTTTTCCTTGTGTCACATGCAGTTGGTGCTCAGTGTCACTTGAATGAATGGATGGATGATCCCATTGTAATTTTGTTGTCAGCATGGATTTTCCCACCTGGAAATCAGTCCTTTGACACCACTAGTCTGTTATCTCTCCTCATCTCTATTCTCAAAATAACTTGGTGTAGTTGGCATTTGTTTTCTGTGACCACGTGATACTCTTTCTTCCTTCTCTCCGTGCTTCTGAATTGGCTCCCTGGTGGTCCAGTTTCTGTTTAGTTAACTGTTTTTAAAAAGGTAACACTATTATCTGTCCAGAAAAAAAGTGACCCTTGACATTTAGATTGGATCTTTTCCTTATTGGATGTAATATTGATAATATGGTGGGTTTTTTTCTTTCTATTGTGTTCTTAGTGTTATGAACTTGTTTTCTCCTGTAAAGTCCTTGCCCTGTTGGCAAATTTAATAATCTCTGAACAAACATTCTCACTTTAAACAAACAGAACCTGATGTTTGGTAACATTAGTTTGTTTTCACCATTTGTCTGCTTACATTGTGATTTCTCTTGGTTTGAGGCATGAAATGAATATGGGACTCCTGAGTTATCTTCTAATGTCAGACATGCTTTCTCTATAAACAGAATCCTGCTGTGTTAGGGGAATAGAAAGCTACTTAGAACTCCATTTTAGAAATGGAATGTGGTAAAAGCTTGAGGTTCATCTTAGATTTTATCCCAAGGACTTAAGTTCCTCTGACAGCAGAATTTCTTTTGTAGGTCAGAAGCCTCGTCTCTATGTACATTGTGGTAACATTTTTCTTCTGTTCTGTGCAAAGAAAGGCTCAGTTAGGATGTAAGAGAGATCCTCAAGATAGCATAAGGGAGGATGCCAGTGCTGTTTACTGCTAATGTGCACTCTGAAGGTGTACCTCTGGAACTGGCAAGTCAAGATTCGTTTTTCCCAATAGACTAGCACTCTGTTTCACAAAGTATCATTTATCACTACTATACTACTGTAAGATTCTTTACGTTAATTTTCTTTTAGTCTTTTAAAACTGGAGAAATAACTTGAGAAGTGGAAAAAACAAAGGATACTCCCAGTTTCATCTTTCTAACATGGCTGCGCAAACAGCTAAACCTCAACTACTATCCATAAATAGAGTTGGTGATTCAAACCTACCTAGAGGCACATTAGGAGAGACTGGCAAGCCTGCTGATCTGCTTCCCAAAGGTCACAGCCTTGGAATCCCTGTGAACGGGTTCTGCCATGCACACATGGGGTTGGCATAAATCGGAATCAACAACAAACACAGAATTATTCTAACTTTCCTTATCTCCTTCAAACTTACTGGCCTTGCTTTTTTTTTTCAAATGGAAACCCTCATGACATGGGGGTTAGTAAGTGCTTGGCTGCCAACTGAAATGTTGGTGGTTTCAACTCACCAGTTGCACTTTGAGAGAAGTTCAGTTCCTATAAAATATACAGACTAGGAAACTCTATGGACAGTGTCACTATAAATTGGAAATGACACTAGGTTTGTAATGTCGGGACTGTTTCTTACTTATCTTTTACCATGTAATTCCAGGAGCTTTTAAACAATTTTAAATCTAATGTGAATCTTCTCTTGAGGAGATTAGTGTAATAAACCACTTGTTTTGGATATATTTTCCAATTTTTGGATGTAATACAATAATACATACAATGGACATGTTTGTTTATTTCATTGCCATTTGAGTGAAATTTTACAATTCATATTGGGATTTCATTCACTCATTCAAATATGTTTTGTTTTATAACATTAATTATAATTAATTAATGTAATTAATGATAATACCTGATCAGCCTCTTATTGTATATTGCCTTTTATCATCAACCAATTTAAAATTTCCTTTTATCTATCCATTTATTAATTTCTACTCACTTCTTTCTCCCTTTCCAGGCTTGGTAATCTTCTAAAAAAGATTCTGTGTGTAAACCTTTTCATAGCTTTTATTTTAGTAGTCTTACACTTTAATGTTGATTGTGAGCCAAACAAGCTGAAGCTTTTAACAGTCTTAATCTCTTTGCCGTTTATTATGATGCTGTCACTTGGCCTAGAGTAAGAATCTTTGTCTTACTATTAAGCTTCAATCCATATTGAAGGCTGCAGTCCTTGACCTTCTGCAACAAATGGCTCAGTTCTTCCTCATTTTTGGCAAGCAAAGCCGTGTCATCTCTATAACACAGGTTCTTGATGCATCTTCCTCCAATCCTGATGCCACGTTCCTCCTTATAGCGCCCAGTCTTCCAGATGATGAACTTGCTTGGCTGCACAATCAACACTCTTGGTACCAACAGCCAGGAAATCAAGAGACAAATTGCATTAGGAAAATCTGCTGTCAGGAACCTCTCAAGAATACTGAAGAGCAGCAATGCCAGTCTGGAGACTCATGTGTGCCTGAAACAGGCCATGGTCTTCACAATTACTTGCTATGCATCAGATAGCTAGACAATGGCTAAGGATGATAGAAGGGGAATTGATAACTTTGAGTTGTGGTCCTAAATATATCATAGACTGCTAAGAAAACAGTTTCACACTTGAAAGGGTGAAACCAGGCTGCTTCTTGGAGGCAAGGATTTTGAAGCTCCATCTGATATCCTTTGGGCATGTTGCAAGGAGCAGTCTTTGGAGAGAGACATCATGATTGGAAGAGTGGAAGGACTGCACAAGAGAGGAAGACCCTGGATGAGATGGATTGATTCAGTGACTTGGGTAAGGAGGGTAATTGTATCAGAGACAGTGATGTTGACTTAAGGTAGTACAGGGTTCAGGGCTATTGTACATAGGTCACTATGAGTTGTAAGCAACTGAACAGCACATAACAACAACAACAACAACAACAACAACATACTTTATTGTGGGAAAAGAATGGGCAGTTCCCTCCTTTGTGATCTACTGCCTCTGAAGACCCACTAGAAGGTCAAGTATTGATTGATTTAGACTTCATAGCACACACAACAAGCAATAATATACTGTAATTTTCGTTTCTTAACTGACTTAGTTATATAGCATAATTACCTCTAGATTAATCAATTTGTACAATGTTTCAAGAATTCTTTATAATTCTTTTTTTATTATACTAGTTTATTTATAACATTTGAATACGTTGCTTTTCTGGCCAGATTTTTCCAGTCCCCCCCCCCCCCCCCCCCCCCCCCGCCAAATTTGTGTACAGCCTCATGATTAATCCACCCCGCCATACACATCCTCATCCCTCTGCTTCTTCCACCCCTTGCCCCTGCCTTGGATCCTCATACTCATGCTACAATAATGCTTTTATACAATATTTGTCCTTGTGGAACTGAGTTAGTTCACTCAGTATAGTGCTCTCCAGTCCCTCCCAAGTTAGGTAGTAATTTACAAAATCGTTGCTCTTTCATGCTCCATAGCATACATTCCATTGTATGAATGTACCA